CACACACACACACACACACACACACACACACACACACACACACACACACACACACACAAATTTGAAACCTTCTGTCAGCACAAGCTAGAAATGCACAACCCTGACTCAATGGGTCTGTGCAGAGCTAATCTCTGTGCAGGCAGGTAATTGCTCGCTGTCTTAGTTGTTAGATGCTTCAGGACCATCTTTACTGGGAACAACGCAATAAACTTCATAAAGAAGTCATCACACCCTGCGCACTCTCTCTTTGAATATCTGCCCTCTGGCAGACGATACAGGACATTAAAAAACACACCGCTAGACTTTTGAACAGTTTTCACACAAAGACCATCACCACTTTAAAGGCTGCTGTGAGCTCACCTAAACAATGACTTAAGAATTCCATTCACTTTATGTTCACAGCACATGTTAGCACACTGAAATTACTGACTGTGAGAAAAGTTTGTTTTGTTCCATTTTTTTCTTTTCTCATTTATTCTATTTTACTTTTACTCTTTTATACTTTTCAAGGAGAACCATTTTTTAAGACGTTGTGCAAGAAGCTTCACGTCTGTTGTACTGTGACAAATAAAGTAACCTTGAACTGTGAACAAAGGAAAGAGTGAAACACAATATAAATAATATCAAATGGAGTGGGAATCTTTGGACGTGTGTTACAGTGAGTCAGTGCCTTTAGTAAAACTTCAACAGTAACTCAAAGGTCAAACAGAGAAAAACAAAAACTGTCAGTTTTGATACTGTACTAAGGCAGACCATTAGTTTCAGCTATTAACATCAAAATGAGCTGCGCCTTGAGCTATAAAAGCAGCAAATACACATCAACTTTAACTGCCATTTCAAACATTACCAGCTGGTCTTCTATTGGTTATAATAGGAATATAATTACTTTTTAGGCCTTTGCATATTATGAGGAAATTTTATTGGGAAAAATATTCAATAGCCTCAGTGTTATTCACTGTTCTGTTGATTTGCCTAAATATTTGCAGATACAGAGTGGTGCTGGCGGAAGGTTGACACATCCAGCTTAAGCAATTTTATTTTTCCTTCTTGAATTTGCTTGTTTCACTCACAGATGACCTACTTTCTTCCATCCGTCCATCTTTCTGTTACATTAAAGTCACGGTTGGGCCGGAACCAATCAAAGCTGTCAAAGGACAAGAGAAGGGGAACAGCCCGGACAATTCACCAGTCTATCTCAGGACTAACCGAGAGACACACTCCAAAAGCAGACTCAATTATTGCCCACATACTGTGAGGTAACGGCATTTTTCTTTAAATGTTGCAGACAACATCAGTGAACATGTCTGAGACAAACAGAACATTTCTTGGTAGAAAAAAACCCCAAGTTTTAATTAAATCTGAAGAGAGAACAATGAAAAACATGTTAATATATAAAAGATCCATCTTCTGACAGAAAACTGTTACAGCAACAAAACACAACTGTTGAAATAATAGTCAAAAAAGAGAGTCTAGTGCCGTAGGCAGAGGGCCATGGGACAGCAGCCTGTTGGTTCAAACAGCCAGTATCCAACACTCAAAGCCCTTGAAAGATATCGCAGCTGATTTAATCTGCCAAACAGCATTAAAAAGTACAACAGTAATACAGCTAAAGTCAATGCTACAGTATAAAAAGCAACCTTATTGAAATCAGGACATTTTTGAGACAAAATGAGTTTGTCCAACACATCTGTGACGTGACGTATGTGGGTGTATGTGCCAGGTAAACTCAGAGATGCCAAAGTATAACAAGCGAGACCGATTAAGTGTCATATAAATCTAATATTAACACTAATGATAAAACAAAAACATCAACATTAATAATAGTACTTCCCGTAAGTAAGAATTTACTTCTACAGTGCTTTTCAAGATAAGACAGCAGTTACAATGTGCTTTAGAGGCATAAATAATAATAATAATAATAATTATTATTATTATTTTTGCAGGTTTAAGTAGTTTCTTAAAGGATGAAACAGAGTCCAGAGTCAAGGGAGCAAAGAGCCCTGAAGTTTGGACTGCACAATTCCCCTTGTTATCAGATGGTTACACGGGATAACAAGAACACCTTTATCTATTGACCTAAGGATCCGACTTGGTGAATAGGGGTGGAGTAGATTAACAAAATAAGTGGGGGCTTCAGCTCATAGGGAATAAAGGTAAAAACCAAGGTTTTAAACTGACTCTAAATCTGACCTGGGAAGCCAGTGCAGACGATTAGTAGATGCCCCGCTCGACCTCCTGAGCTACAGCTGCCCCTATTATGAATGAGACTTAAAAGCCTTAAAGCAACATTCTGGACAAATAGAGGAGATTAAGATAAGATAAGATAACCTTTATTTATTATTTATTATAACCTTTATTAACAGACATTTTAGACAGACAAGAAAATAGACTATTACAAAAATCCAAGCAGAATGAGATAAAGGCAAGACTGAGCACCTGCAGTTCATGTTTTGAGACAACAATCCTGAGTTTAGCAATTCTTAAATGGAAAAAGGAAGAGACTTGATTTGGGCGTTAAAAGTACAAAAAAAAAAAAATCCAAATTGAACCAAAGATTCTATACATTAGCTTTCACAGTAAATGTGAAAGACCCCAGACATTGTCTAACTTAGGGAATAATGGTGTGTGACATGATAAGTAGAGATTTTGTGTTGTCTGTGTTAAGCTGGAAAAGGTTATTTGCAATCCAACCATCGACTGCATTAAATCAATCAATTCATTGTTAATAATTTATCCAATTTGTAAGGTTTAAATGAGAGGTACAGTTAAATGTTGTCAGTGCACAAATGATAAGAAATGGTTTTAAAACTACTAATGAAATGAAAATAACAAGAAACTTCAACCAGATCCTGGAACGCAACACGATGCAGCCACATCTGACCAAAGATTGACCACTGAGACCAAAAGTGTTCTATCAGCAAGCAATGAAGTGAACCACTCCAAGAGATGGACCTACCCACTATGTGGTGTTAAGATTTATTGATCCACAATGCTTGATAATTAGATCATTAATACTTATACATCGACAATTTTTAAAACTAAATTATACCGTCTAAAGTCCATACGAGTCAATATGAGTAGCACTCAGTGGCTGTTCAGTTATATATGTATATATGTATGTATGCAGACTGAAAGAAAAACCTACAGATACAACTCAGCGTAGCACTGTATGCATTATTTTAGTGAAAAAGAAAGTAAAAACATGAGATAAAAATGCCAAACAAAACTGAGTCCTGTTTACTTTCAATATGTTGCATCAAGGTAACAAAATATACTGTAAGCAGTATAGTGATGTACCGGGAAGAAAAGGAGCGTAAACCACAGCAGGAAAGAGACCTTTGAAGGATGAAGAGGAAGGGTAAATAGAAACAGTGCTGTGTGCAGATTCAAGGCAAATATATTCTTGTGAGTGAATGAATGGTGTGCACCTGTGGAAAGAGAAGAAAATGGAAGTACAGGGGTGATGGGAGACATACGGATCATAGAGCATAAAATCAGTTGGGGGAAAAAGGTCTAAGGTGTAGGCAAACAGAGGGCAAACTGTGATTGGTGCGGAAACGGGAAAACAGTGTAGAGAAGAAACTAAAATACGACTGCATCACTTGTATAACACTTATTGACTTCTATCTTATGTAAATCTCACACACTGAGTCAATGACTGTTTCAGTTACAGATAAATACGACAGCTACAGTGTGTCAAATAACTGACTCATGTAGCTTTCACTGCTCTGTTAATGGCTTTCATTAATTGCATTTGTACAGAAAATAAATTCTTAAATTTACAGAGTAGCATTACACAGTGCCACCAGTCTCCAGGAATGTCACTGGGACATTGTTTTCTGGAATAATGAATAAGTTGTTCATGTCTTCTCTATTAACTGTTTAATTAGAGATGCTATTCAAAAAAAAAAAACTGAGACTATTAAGGAAACTAGAAAACCATCAATCCTGTTGGTCCTGGCTGATGAACAAAGGCAGACATCTTTTAACTTTGTCTGACTGTCAGCTTTAAATTAACAGTTGCAATCAGATGTGGGGTTGGGTGTAGCTGTATGGATAACCTGCACAGCTACTCGAGGCTTTTGAGGAAATAATCAGCTCAAGTAATTTGGGTCAACTGGCCCTGGGAGGGGGCCTTGAGGCTTCCTAATACATCAGATATGTTGGGGAAGAGTGAGAGCACAAGGTTCAAGATGAAGTCTGCCATCCTGGTTGGGTAGAGAGATAACATGGAGGTCACCCTGTTTGCATGTTCCCTTATAAATGAGAGAAAGTCTGAAAAGGATAAAGCAGCACTGACTTTGCCAATGTCATCCTAAAGAACATCAAAGTAATTTTCTCCAAATACCAACGCAAAGCAACGTTATTAACACCACACTAAACTACATGTAACATATAAAACATCCAGTTTTTCACAATACATGTGTATGCCTTGAAAAAATAGTCAATATTCAAAAGTAATTTCAAAGCCATTTCTTGGCCGTGGAGTAAATGCCTGATTAACAGGCAGAAAGCTAACATCATTCGCTTACATTAGACTGTTTATCACTGTTGCTCTTACATGTTTGATTCTGTAAAAGACTAAATAAAGACACATCCCTCCAAACTACACAAGCACCAACTACAAATCCACCACCTGCCTTCTTAGTTTTGCTACGACTGGGAAGTAAAGACACAGATGGCATCTAACCATTAAACTCCAGCAATCTTGACTGCATTCGTGTCTTCTGTGTATGCTATTTTATGCATACACAGAAGACACGACGAATCCATGCAGAGCAGAATTCGGCGAATACTCAGTGAGCATATCCAAAATGCAGTTTTAGATAGATAAAATTGAATTGTTATTATTTAAGCCAGACTTATCAATAATTACATTTTTCTTATCATAATTACTTATCATAATTACATTACTTGACAGAAATACATTTTTATTTCCAAAGCAATGTGTGAACAGATATCTACAGTGTACGTTTGAAGTAGCAAGGATGAAATTGAATTTTAGATAATTGATTTTTATAATAGTGGCTGTAAAGTTGTCAATTATTATTAACTCAAACTCCAACTAGTCAAAACCAAATAACAGACATAAGGATATGAGGAAGAAGGTTGTAAAGAGTTCAGGAAGAAGTTGAGACAAGCTTCAGGTCGTAGGGAAGAGTTGCTAGTTGTCTGGGAAAGTACAACTAAAACGAGGGAGAATACAGGGAAGGTATGTTGTGTATCCTCTGGACAGAGGAAAGAAGACAAGGACACTAAATGGAGGAATGAGGAAATACAGAGAAAAGATTTAAGGAAAATGAAAAAGTGCAATTGTCATGGAGAAGAAGAAATTAGACAGGAGTACCAGGATGCTAGGAGATGTCTAGGAGAGACAGCAGTGGACCTTTTAACCAGATTGTTAATACAACCCTGGAGAGCGAGAGGACACCTGAGGAATTGAGAAGAAGTGTACTGGTAGTGATGAAGGGTGATGTGCAGAGAGGTAAAGTTGATATGGGAGAGAGGTTGACGCTAGGTTAAGAAGAGAGGTGACGATCAGTGAGCAGCAGTATGGCTTCATGCTGAGAAAGAGCACTACAGATGTGATGTTTGCTGAGAGAGTGTTGATGGAGGAGTGCAGAGAAGGTCTGGCGTGTCTCTATAGACACATTCGAGAGAAAGCAACTGGAGGAACTGTGGTACTGCATGAGGAAGTCAGGAGCAGCAGAAAAGTATGTGACGTGTATGATGAGAGTGAGATAGTGGTGAAATGTGTGGTAGGAGTGACAGATGGGTTTAAGGTGGGGTGGGGTTGCATCAGAGACTGGCTCTGAGCCCCTTCATGTTTGCAGTAATAACAGACAGGCTGACAGACGAGGTTAGGCAGAAGTCTCCATGGATTATGATGTTTGCGCGGCCGACTTTGTGCTACCTTTCTCTCACCTATCGTCACTTTAAGTTACCGAATATCATTCTGTTCTCTGATCTGATTGGATAGTTAGTTACAGCTGTTGTCAGAGCAGATAATGTCCTAGAGGGGTTAATGATAAAAACGAAACTGTTGATATCTGCAGCTGTTACTGCAGCATTCGATGTCTTCTAAACACAATCGTGAAAAAAAACTATGTGAAAAAAAATAATAAAGAAAATATTTTGCAATATCTGCCAACTCAAGCACTTTCCAGAGTCTAGATATTTTCTGCATCAGGAATAGAAAGCAGAGACAGATTCAGGCTCAGCAACGACAAAATGGGAACCAAGGAAGAAACGCCTGCTCCTCTGTTTAAAGAAGCAAGGCAAACAAAAGTAAACACAACATGTGGTGACTGTTTGACAGCCAGGTTAAGGCAGGAATTCATTTCTTCCTAAAACACTTGATGAAATTTAAAAACTTCTATAGCTTTCTAACTGCTACATTACTGCTAATATCATTATTTTTGTGAGCCCCCTACATATATGGACAGATTATACTTTATATAAACTAGATATTAATCTATAAACTACTGTTATAGCTTTGGCAATATTGTTTATGGAAACTGTGATGCCTATAAAGTATAAAGGCCCACTGAGCTGAAGCTGTTCTCCCAAGTGAGAAACACTGCCAGAAATTGCCTCTAACAAATTTGCAGAAGCTTGATACCAAACTGGGAAATGCAAAAGAAAAATGCAAAAGAAAAGAATAAGACAGGACTTCTTTGTTTGTTTTTTTCTAAACAGACATTTCACCTCTTATCATCTTGAAAAAAACCTTAAAGAAGTCGATTAGCCTTCTATTCAGGCTCCTGAGACTACCACCACCTGGATGCCTGAGGACCTACACAAACACTAATGCTATGTTTACTTTACATCAGCTCATTAATGGTCTTCATGTCCTCTCTGACACCTTTCTTCCCGTTTGACCTGAAGGAGAGCAGCATCCACTGCTTTACATGCAACCACACCAGAGCTTCACTGACCGAGCAAAAAAAACCCAAAAACCAAACTGTGATTCATGAATATATGGAAGTAAGCCAACGTGTGAGGCAGAAGCACCAGTGCAGTAGTCACAGAGGAGGTGAGCATGGAGGGGAGATTATAGGGCAAGTGGGAGGCTGGTAGTGGCAAAGGGAGAGCTTGCAGTTACAGAAGCCCATAATTGTTCTTCATGCCTGGGTTTCCTGTGAGCCACTGCCTGGTCTTGCCCCAGGAGGCACGGCGGTGTGCGTGTGTGTGAGAGAGTGAGGTGTACAATTTGAATCCTGAGAACAGGTCAGAGAGTGTTCTCCCTGACCGTGATTGACTATGATGGTTCAATGTATGTGGGTGTTCCAAGGTTACAGTTCATGACATACCTGTGTGTTTACCGTATATTTGACATGTAGCACTGTGCTGCTGCAAGTATGCAGACACTGTCCATTTATATAAATAGACATTATGTGGTTCTGCCTGACAGTGTGAGTTCTCATTTCCATGTGAATCAAAGGTCAAAGGTCACACTTGAAAGACGCCTACCGCATTTTAAACTGAACAGTTCCTTGAAAATGTTTAATTCAACACAACTTCCCCATCCTCATGAGAGCAGTCGCTGACAAAGTAGCAGAGGAAAGGAGGAAAAATGAAGTCAAGCATCAACCTCTTTTCCAATTTTCTTTTGTTCTCATTCTGATGAACATCCTGTTTGTTTACCCAGAAAATGAAAATCCCAATATGGCTGCAGACACCCACTGGACAACAGCTTCATCTCTGCTCTTCATCCTTCATTTACTTTATTTTTTTGCTCTCTCCTCGTCCTTAATCATCTTCCCAAGTTTCAATTATTTTGCAGAAATATGTAAAAATGCTCTTAATGGTTTGAGAAAAACAGCACATAAATATTTCATTTCAACATCTCTAACTAATATTGTCATCGTGATTGAAAAGGTAATTATTTTCTTTAAACCCCGGTGAGTATTCATGGAGCACATTTCAGGCTTTTCACAGGCTCAGCTCTTTGGGGTTGACTGTGCATGGTGGCACACATGATTTCTTGGTAACGAAAATGTAATGAGACTATTAACTTATTTGAGTTATTATAATTCTGTTTTGTTTTTTTATTCGTTTTTATTTTTATTTTGTTTGAACTTTTTGTTTTTAATTCAGTTTAGTTTCAGTTAGTTTGTGCAGGTTTGTTTTATAACCCTAACCCAACATCACCATCCTCCTCAGTTTGTGATAACAAATTTGACCTAATTAATACAAACTAAAAGAAAACAGCATTTCTTCTATAATTGAATTTAATTTTTGGTTGTTTTCCAAGCTCACAAAATCTTTTCGGCTCGGTAAATTTTTTTAAAGGTCTAGTTTTGATTGTTTTATTACCCAAAATGTTTTTTCATATCTAGTTTTAGTTATTCGTTTGGTTAACTAAATTAAATGTATGTTTACTACAACCTATTTTGAAAAACAGCAAACAACCAAATACAGTTAAAAGAATTCAGAAGGGGAGATTTTTTTCGGAGGCTCTATGAATCTTTCCATTCAGTGATGCGTCTCTTTCTGCAATAGGTGATACTTTGATGTTTGAGCCAAAGCCTGCAAGGTACAAAGGTCCTGAGGATGCAAAACAAGCGTGCACCACAGAGTTGACAATTGATCTGAGGTGTTTGTGCAGACATGCTGTGTTTGGTGGGGCTCTGCATTATGACCAAACAACTCCGTTCTGATCTCGCCTGTCTAAAAGAAATTGCTCTAGAAAGCTTGTGGTTTGTTCAGATGCAACTCAGCAGACCTAAGCTGTGCTGTCGTGCTCATTTTAGAGTGAGGAGGCTCTCTCCTGGCAACCCATCCCAACAAACCATATTCATTAAGTCTTTTTCTAATTTTACTGTCATAGACTTTAACATTTAACATGCTAACCGAGCCATGGAGAGTCAGAGGTGTCGCTCTTGGGTTTTTTGCAATTTGAGCATAACAGGATTTGACCTTGAGGTGAATTTGCTGGGATGTCCAGTCCTGGGAAGTTTGGCACATCCAGGTGCATTAACATGATGCCACAAACCATCAAACTGTCACAACTCTTCTTTTATAGATGTTTTCACACTTACAAATAATCAAGACTATTTGATAAGTAACACATGGCTTCTACTTCAGGGCTCGCAAAATCGCTAGCCTGACGTCCCGGGCTAGCGATTCTTCCAGTCGGGCTACCAAAATCTAACTCAGCCCTGCTGTCATAGGAAGGAATGCTTTGCATTCTTTCGCAAATGTAGCTGGGTAATTATGCCATCGGCATCGATGAGCCACTGTCAATATGTGACATATTGAGATCGCGTTTGAATTTGCGCTTGTTTTTTGCTTTCACTTTGCGATCGTGCGAACTGTGTATAGGGAGTGGCAGAGGGTGACAGATTAATTGCGCACCAATTCCTCTGGCATCGTCTTATCACTCAGTAGCTTACTATTCAAACGTGACAAGTGAAATCTCTGGCAACAAGCTTAAACATGTGATAGAGGTTGATTGCGCAGAGAATCGCTGACCGTTATGTGTGCATGTGTAAAGACAGATGAATTTACGCAGGTATTTTAGTTCTGCAGAGCGAAATAATAAAGGTCAGGGTGAAGAATGGACAGCCAAAGAAAAGCTTACCACAAAACGCAAAAGTTAGGACAAATCAGACTATGAGGCAAAAAGAAAGCGCGGCTTTTTTTGGTTTCATGGACAAACGAATTTCTGTGGCTGGAATATGACGAGCTGTGTTGTGAGTTTCCCTCGATGTCTGAGTCGACAAGCGCCTTTGTTACTGGGAATATTATACTTTAATGTTTAATATTGTAAAGGAAACAAAACATCAATCAAAAAATTGTTCTCTTTTTTTACTCAGGCTACTTAAATTTATTCTGGGTTACCAAAAACTGAAGAGTGCCTGCCCGAAGGGCTACGAGGGATATTGAGAACCCTGTACTTACCTTCTTAATTCCTACGGACACACCAAAAGTGTACTTTTTCACTAGTTTTTCACATTGCTGTAAAAACTCTTTTTCACAACTGTACTGCTCATTTTTTTCTAAATGTATTATTTATAATAGCTGAATGTGAAGTCAACTTTCCAAACACTCATAACAATTACATGTGTTTACCAAACATTAAAAGGCTAGAGTGATGAACACACAGCTCACATGAACAGTTCAGACTGTGTAGCTCACATAAACATGTAGCACCTGGTGACAGATCCAGGCTATGAAACTGACGTTTTCAACCTCAAACAGTATTTGTTAGTATTCTGAATTATGACAGATATCATTAAAATCTGAAAAATGGTCTTTTAAAATGCCAGTTTTTGAGAGACCGGACTAAATCTAAGTACTTTCAATCTTTATTATTCCCTATCAGGCATATCTTTGACCAATATGGTTGTGGTCAGTCACAGATTCAAACAACAGGTAAAAAGTAGTGTTATACATTTTTGTGTCATTCTACATTTGAATTATTTAGTGTCTTTCATCGCCATTAATTAGATACCATCTTAAAGAAGAAAACAACAAATTCAGTGATGGCGTTCGCTTGCATTCCATCACTCCCAGCTGTTGTCTTCACTGTAGCAGCTCGCCGTTATTGCTCCCTGTCAGACAAACACACACTCTCCTTTGAAGGACACTGGTCAAATTAATTCAATAAAAGAGAGTCTACGGGGCTTGCTTTGATATGATCCTCAGAGAGTGTGTGTCGCCACGTACAAGGCGGATGGTGTGTTTGCTGTGTGTGTTTTCTCTGCAGAGTCTGTGTGTTGCAGCCTGCCTGCAGTGATAAGCAGCTGATGAAAGACAGAGAGAGAGTGCATTACCTGAGCCTGCTGTGTGTTGTTGGATGAGGGGAGTGGGTTGGAGACCATTGGTCCAAAGATATCCAGTTCATCACCAATTGGTGCAGCACCCCCTGAGCCCTTCTCACCCCCCTCTGGAGCATCTAAGAGAGAAACAGAGATAGAAAGACATGTACAGTATCTCCCAAAAATATTTGACAGAAGCAAACAGATCAAGAATAAAAGCAACTCTAACAACTTCTAAAAACTAATAAAACTTCGGGCTGGATGTCTAAGTGAGGTATATACACAACAATCATGCATTTGCTTGTTTTTTTGTTTTAAAAATCCTCACATAAATTGGTATTTATAAAGAAAGAATGTGGAGCAACAATCTATATATGCACAGGCTATTTTTAGAGTATGCTGACATTAAATGAACTGTATTAAACAACAAAATGCCAAAACAAAATGGCATCTTTTTTTTTAATGAGGACACCACAAGCACACTTGTCAAGTAAAAATTTCACTAAATAGTTTGATATGTGGCACATAATTAACACAAATACACAAAGATATGTATATTTGTCTCTAATAGGAAAGAAAGCTGCATCCAAGGACAGTTTTCAGTCTGAAACGATTGTGTTTTACTGTTTAGTCTCATGTCCTTTAGCATCTTTGCTTTGAATTAACTGCCTTCTGTAAAAGCATCTTTTGGCTAACATGGTTGACATCATTATCCGGCTGAGACATCCACCTTGCTGCTTGAACTAGGAGTTGCTTGCATTCACACTCTGCAGGTTTTGATGCCATCAGTAAATACAAATTCACCTTAACCAGTAATCTCTGGGTCTGAAAATGAAGCTAATAAGACACAGTTAAAAACTGCAACATGATTTTTAACATTAACAACTTGTTAAATTCTCACAACTTCACAACAGAATTAAGTTGTTTACAGGCTGAAACAAAAACTGGTCTTTTTGCTCATAGTCACATATCCTACTGGCTGTAAGTCAGGCTCTGTTCTCTGCACAAACAAATGGTGCTTGCCTATTGTTCAAGCTCACCCTCCTGTTATGGTTCTTAACCCTGTTGATGGATTAAGAGATATAGAAGGCTCTTAACTGGTTTCTGCTCCTTTGTGCAAGGAGGAACAGGATACGCACTATCAGAGCTACAAAATGACCTCCAGCAGGCCACTGGTGTGAATGTCTCTAACCAAACAATCAGAAAGAGACTTCATGAGGGTGGTCTGAGGGCCCGACATCCTCTACCCTGATTGGCATTTGCCATAGAATATCAGAATAAGCAGGTCCACCACTAATGGCTTGTGCTTTTCACGGATGAGAGCAGGTTAACCCTGACCACAAGTGACAGATGTGAAAAAGTCTTCCTGAGCTAGCTCCTTCAGTAGCTAGCTATGTCGCAAAATTATTCTTCTTTTGTCCTGAAAGGGTCTGAAGAAGATGTGGAGAACATTATGCTGTCGGTAACATTGTTCAGCATGATTGCTGTTTGGTGGTCTGGGGTGGCATATCCACGGAGGAATGCAGAGATCTCTCGAGGCTAGGCATCAGCACCCTGACTGGCATTGGGTATTGGGATGAAATCCTCAAACCCAACATGACGCCATGTTTGTGCGGTGCATGCTTGTCCTCCTGGTGCACGACAATGGCCAGCCTAATTTGGCAAGAGTATGTTGACAGTTTCTAGAGGCTGAAGGAATTGATACCACTGACTGTGCCCCACACTTGCCTGATCTCAATCCAAAATAACACCTCAAGGTCATCATGTTTCGGTCCAGCTGCCAGGTTGTACCTCAGTTGCTGAATTACTACAATGAAAGTCTGGCAGAATGGACTAGCCTGATGCCTCAATTGTTTAATCTGATTTTCAGGGTGTCCTTGAAATCAGCCCTCCGTAGGTTGATACTTTTTATTCCCATCAAACGATCCTTATGCTCCTAACAAACGATCCAGTCCATATAGATATCTAGTATGAATTTGTTTTCCATGTGCTCTCTAAGTGTTCCTTTAATTTTTCTGAGCAGTGTAGAAACCTCTCACGCACTCACACACATTTCCAAATCTCCCCACAAAGCTCATTTTAAAATTACCATGCTTATTCATTTGAACATGCTCAAGACAACTTTGATAAACACAATTCTTCAGTAGCTAGCTCTGTTGCAAAAATTCTTTTGCCCTTGGAGCACTACTAGAATATAAATTTCCTGTAAGTGCAAATATTTTTGACCTTGTGTTTTTATTAATGTTTAGTTAGATTAACAAAAGTATAGAGTACAAATTAATGATCAAAACCAGACTGACAATGTTTATCAGCATTGTGTGTATATGACAGTGACTGAATTAGCTGTGACAAGGGCTGCTACGATTAGTCGACTAGTCACGATTACGACTAATTTAATAGTCGACGCGTCGTTTGAAGCTTTGTAAGATCCAAACGACGCAGGAATAAGTAGTAGGATTTAAGAGTGTAATAACGGACTGAAACAGAAGATGGCAGCACTGCATGTACAAGGATGCCAGCTGCCGTTAAATCTGGAAGAAGAAGAAGCAGTGTCCGGTATTGTTGCTGTGTCCAAATTCAGGAACCGCATCCTCCTGTGCCCGCATTTGTAGGCCAATTACGTTACAGCGACATGATGAAGACTGTCCAAATTTGAAGACTCCGACAAATGCAGCCGACAAACGCGCCCTTTATTTCCTCAGATATGAAGGATGGGTCGGGTGTATACTTCGTGGCCCAACCTATCCCAGAATTCATAGCGCAGCCCTGCTTAGTTTCCAACAATGGTGGCAGCTAGTTAGTTTTAATATTACTCTTATTATTCTTTCTGGGTCACAAAATAAACGTTTAACATATTTTCAGGTGAGAAAGTAGCTGTGTAAACTTCAAATATCTACTCAGTTTATCAAGACACCACATATTTTCAAAAGCGCTCCAACAATTTCGGAGACGTCTGTTACCCACTTGCTCGATAGCTAGCCGGGGTTCAAGGCTCACGCAAATCGTCTTTCACTACTTAGGTTAAACATGATATATGTCACTTAGATAACTTCAAAATGTTATTGTTTGGCTTTTTTCAGTACTAAAAAAAGCCAAACAATAACATTTTGGAGTTATCTAAGTGACTTATATATATTTAATTAACCTTAGTAGCGAAAGACGGCGGTGGGTTTGAAAACGATTTGCCGGGTGTCCGGTGTTCTCACGGGCTTTAGTTAGCCTTGCCCCCGGCTAGCTATTGAGGTAGTGGGTAACAGACGTCTCCGAAAACGTCGGAGCGCTTTTGAAAATATGTGGTGTCTTGATAAACTGAGCAGATATTTGAGGTTTACACAGCTACATTCTCGCCTGAAAATATGTTAAACGTTTATTTTGTGACCCAGAAAGAATAATAAGAGTAAAGTTAAAACTAACTAGCTGCCGCCATTGTTGTAAACTTAGCAGGGCCGCGCTATGAATTCTGGGATACAGCTTCTTCTTCTTCAGGGTTTAACAGCAGCTGGCATCCTTGTACATGCAGTGCTGCCATCTTCTGTTTCAGTCCGTTATTACACTCTTAAATCCTACTACTCATTCCTGCGTCTTTTGGGATCTTACAAAGCTTCAAACGACGCGTCGACTATTAAATCAGTCGTCAACGATTTTGATAGTCGACTAATCGTGGCAGCCCTACTGTCAGCCCACCTGCTCCTGCATGTACTGTAGCAGCATGTGTTCTAATTATTCGGGAGGTCTTGTCTCTGCTTGTCTCCAACTCTGGTGGTATATGATGCA